GCTTGAGTTAATTTCAAGACTCAGAAACAATGTTTAGTCAACTTACATAAGTCAGGAAACAATGCTTAGCCTGAAAAATCAGTGACATCTTTTTTTTTTTTTTGTAGTAATGATGTTTCACAAATTGAGGTGGATGATTCAGCATGAAGCTTCCAGGCTGTTTCTTAAAGGTGCAGCAAATGTATAAACCTTCAATGAAAACAGCCATGGCCCAGGCAGGCAACACTCCTGGGCTTCGTATGCATTAACTCATTTCTCAGTCCTAACAGCCCAGGAGGTTCGTTATCGACATGACTGCCCTCCTTTTACAGATGGGGCAACTGAGGCACAGAGAGGCCAAGCGCCTTAGCTAAGGTCACAACAGCAAGGAAGTGGCAGGACCAGGGGTCTAACCTCGAGACTGTTTTGGGGACCATGAGACTCTCTAGGATGCCCAGTGTGCCCTCGGAGGCGAGAGTCGGTCCTTTTACTGGTTGCCCACTCTAGCCAAGCGGGTTTTTATAAAGTGATTTCTGACAGCTCTTCCTGAACCCCTGACACAGCTCAAAGACTTATGTTCAGTTCTGTACTCTAGACTTTTCTATCAAGTGAGTCCCTGGCCATGTGCTGGGGCAGAGTGAGCAGGACACAGAGCAACAGGTCAGCCAAGGCCAGACAGGCAGATGGTGGCCAGAGACCAAGGCCAGCCACAGATCGCTAAGGCGGCAGTCAGTGCAAAATGAGATCCTTCCAATGAAGACCTCGTCCGGGGCAGACGGAGATGATCGCTATCCCCACGAGGTGACATGTGTGGCCTGAGGGACAAGGAGGTGCCAGCCATGGCGAGAGCAGGAGGGATGAGGAGCAGGGGAAAGAGCCATGTGCTCCCAGAACCCAGAGAAGGTGTGGGTGGTCGGGGTTGGGCCCTGAGAAGGAAACAGGTTTTCTGGGACCTGAAGCTTCCATTCTTTGGAGGATCCTCTTGAAGAAAATGAATACTAAATTATGAATACAAAACTGCTCCAGCCTCTCCCTGGGTCTTGAAAGAAGTCCTGAAGGTTAAGCCTCCTCAGCCTCACGGAAAATGTGTCCCTGGCCAGAACTGGGTATTACTGGGTTGCCTATTAATACCCTAGACACACACACACACACACACAGACACCCGGAGACACAGACACACCCATACTGAGCAGAATACGTGTTATGTTTTGAATAAAGGACTAAATAAACTTCCATTATTATGACTACCAACAATAAAAATACTCACTGAGGGCCAGCCAACACTTACCATGTGCCAGGCACTGTTCTAAGAGCTTGTTTAATCTTCACTACAAGCCAATAAAGCATGTACTACCATTATCCCCAGTGTACAGGGGAGGAAAATGAGGCTCAGAGTGGTTAAGCGACTCCCCCAAAGGCACACAGCAGGAAGCAGACCTGGACAGCTGGGCTCTCTGAGCCGTTCTAGCAGTGTACCCGCATCTAAGGTATCAGTGACTGCATCAGGCAGACTCTCCTCCCCACCCTGGAGCTCCAATTCCAGAAAGCGAAACAGATACTAGAGCAATAGATGAATAAACTACACCATGGGTTACGAAGTGATGAGTACGGGGGGAAAATACAGCAAGGAAGAGGACAGAGACCATGGGGGCTCCTATTCTAAGTAGGTGCCCAGGGAAGGCCTCACAGGGAAGGTGACATTCGAGCAGAGACTGGAAGGAGGTGAGGGAGCGATGCTGGGAACAGAGGTGGGTCAGACCCGGCACACCCCAAAAGGAGCTGCCAGTCTAGGGGTGGGGGTGACATCTGGGAAAAAGAGGATGCCAATCCAGTGTGAGGAGGGCTGAGAGAGGAAAGCCCAGGGGGCTGCAGAAGCCTGAGGGGGTGGGGTGGCGGGCTTCCTGGAGGAGGTGACACCAGAGAATCTCCAAACTTTGATATATTCAACGGGTGGGAGTTCGGCAGGACAAGGGAGAGAAAGAAGCAGAGGTTGGAGGGTGGAGCAGGAAGTGTGCCCAGGCAGAAGGCACAGCAGGGGCAAAGGTCTAAGGCAAGAAGCAGCCTGGTCTGTCAGGAAAGTACAAGCCAGTGAGAGCTGTGGAGGCACAAAGGTGAGGGAGGGACAGAGGGACATGGATGGCTGAACAGGGGGCCAGGGCCAGACCAAGAAGGGTCTCGAATGCGAGGCTCAGGGGCTGGGGAGCTGCGGGAGGACTCTGAGCAGGGGAGGGGGACAGGGTCTGCTCCGGGTGCAGGAAGACCGCTTAGACTGGGAGGGAAGGGACTGCAGGGGAGAGACTAAAAGCCAGGTAGGAGACTGGGGCGAGGCTCCAGGTGGGAGAAGATGAGGCCTGAACTGCTGGGGCCGTGAGGATGAAGAGGCAACAGGGCAGAGAGATGAGAGGGCAGGAGGGACGGGGCTGAGAAATGACAGGCTGTGGGAGGTGAGGGAAGGAGGGGTGGGTGTTACCCAGGGTCTGGCCCCGTGATTAGGTGGTTGGCAGCGTGAATTATTTATTTGTTCAGAGAGGGACATCCACGGACACATCCAGGGAGACAGCATGTAACGAGGGCGCCCTGGGGCACTGTGGGGGGCGCAGGCAGCACCAACACCTCGGGAAAGGACGAGTTCACACTTCCCCAGGCAGCACACACACCAAGGCACCCACACACCAGGCCCCGTGCTGGGTGACGCTGGGACCCAGAGCCGAGCCAAAGGTGGGCCTGCCTGGTGGGGGAGACAGATACCACCCCAGACATCTCAGGCCAGGGACCAGGGCTGGGGCAGAGGGAGGCCCAGGGGCTACGGAGGCCCAAGGAAGAGGCAGAGGTGGGAAGAAACCAGGAGAGTCGAGTCCCAGGACCCAAGATGAGTGCGTCTCCAAAAGGCTGGAGGTGAGGCCAGCCAGGTGGCGTAGTGGTTAAGTTCACGGGCTCCGCTTCGGTGGCCTGGAGTTTGTGGGTTCACATCCAGGGTGCGGACCTACACCACTCATCAAGCCATGCTGTGGCAGCATCCCAAATAAAAAATAATAGAGGAAGATGGGCACAGATGTTAGCTCAGGGCCAATCTTCCTCACCAAAAAAAAAAAAAAGGCTGGAGGCAACACCCCTGCCATATACAGCCAGAGCTGTCATGAGGCGAGTGGCTGGTGAGTGGAGACTCGAGGGGCACAGAGACTGTAGAAGGACCTGCCTGCGTTTCATTCCTGACTACTGCTGCCTCACTAGATGATCTGGCAGGTCAAAGAACCTCCCCGGGCCTCAGTTTCCTCACTTGTCCACTACTACCTAGACGGAATTGAAAGGACTGAATGGGTTCATCTCTGTCAAGGACTTAGATCGCTGCCTGGTGCATAGTAAGGACCCACTAAACGTGACCTGTTAATGATCACTGAAGTTTTCCTGCAGGGTCTGGCTCCCTGGCTCTCCTCCCCACCCCACTCCCTAAGCCGTCAGGGGCAGTAGCAGCGTCAACTTCGTAGCCCCATTTCATCCACCCTGAGGTCTCGGGGTGTGCTAGGCCCTGTGCTGGGCAAGGCTGGGGACATGGAGGGGGGCTCCCAGTCTGATGGGGGACAGACATGGATGGACAGTCACCACCTTCAGTCTGGTGTAAGTATTGGGAGAAAGTGGAGGGAATGTGTCTGATTCACCTCTGTCCGGAGCAGCTTCTCTCTGGGGACAAGCCGGGCCCATGGAGATGCTGTCCCATACCCTTCTCATGGAGCGTGTGAGCCATTCCTCCAACTCAGACTGGCTCTCAGCTCTAGCAGCCACGCCTTCCTCCCTTCCTAGCTAAAGCCCCTGGCTCCCCCTGAGGCTACCTATATAGGGTGAAAGACAGCTCTAGGATCCCGGGGCGCTCTGTCCAACCTCCCTTATGGCAGGTTCCTGTGCTCTAAGAGTCAACTGAGCGTGCAGTGCAGCCCAGTGGGTGACAGCTCGGCTTGTGTGCAAAGCACCCGGGGTGAGGAGCGGGATGGACCTGGATAGGAATCTCGGCTCTGCCCCTTCCCAGCTGAGTGGCCTCTCTGTGCCTCAGTTTCTCCGTGTGTTAAACAGGGACCATAGCTCCTCCAGCAGGTAAGAAACTGGCCCTGCCCGCAAAGATCCAGATAGTGAGTCCAGAACCGGGAATAGGGAACGGGATGATGACTCCAGAGGGGCCGGGTGTGAATGAGGAGGGATGGGAGGGCAGAACCTCTCAGGTGTGACTTTAACGTTTGGGGCAAGAGCGACAGAGACCAGAGGTTACGAGGAGACCCCCATGCGGTGTGAGCTCGTGACCCTGGACGCACACGGCCGCGGGGCTCAGGGACGTGGGAGGGGGGCCCGGTCACCTTCACGGCGAAGTCGATCACCCTCTTGACAGCCACGAGCGCGCGCAGTTCCGCCATCTTCCTGCCGCCACCTCCTTGCGGGGTCGATCCGCAGCCTCGACCTCCTGGTCCCACTGCCCCGCCTCCGTCCTTCTCTGCGCCTGCGCCGCTCGCCGCCAGCCAGTCAACCGCTGCGGTGCCCGGCTCCGCCCCAAAAGAGGACCAATCAGGAGGCCGGAGGGGAGGGAGTTTTGGCAAGCGGATGCGGACCAATGGGGAGTGGATCCCGGGGAGACAGGCGGGACCCGGAGAAGGGGACAGGGCTGTGTGAAGGGGGCGTGACCGGGAACTAGGGGAAAGATCATGCGGGGAAAGGAAGCGGCGGGGAAGTGGAGCTCCTCCCAGTCGTCCTAAACCTTTCCCAAGGCCCTCGGATCTACCCCCTCCTCCAGTTCCCCATCTCCTCCTCGCCTCTCCGAGACGCAGTGTCCGTGTCCCCCACTCTATGAATACGCCTCTACGTCCCCCCATATCGGTCTTCCCTCGTCCGTCTCCACTTTTCCTCCATGTCCGTGTCCCTACATCTTCTCCACGCGCCCATGTCCCTTCCTGACCCCACTCCCCCCCGTCCCCATTCTCCTCCAAACCCGTTTCCCTTGTCCACTCCATGTTCGTGTTTCCACGCCCGTATGCCCCATGTCCCCACGATCCGTGTAGGTTTTGTCCTATGTCCTCCCTGAGCTTCCATGTACCCCTGCGCCCGAGTCCCCGTTCATGTACATGTTCCCACGTCCATTCATGTCGCCCGTGTCCGCGTCCTCACGTCCCCAGACAGGCAGGCGCAGCCGCGGCGGCGGAAGCTAGTCCTTTATTCTGCCCCAGGCAGGCTGCGGTCACAAGCACACGGGGAATCCACTGATGGCATCCGTGCTCTGCACGATCATGTCCGCCAGCAGAAAGCAGAAGCCTGGCAGGGGGGAGCGGAGGGCGAGTGGAGGGTGGGTCCTGGGGCGGATGACCGGGAGGGCCCCGGGGACTGGGCTTTGGGGCTCAAGGGCATCTCTGCGGGGTCTGCGGGAGTCAGGAGTGGAGTGTGCTGGGGAGGCCCTGGGTGGGGGGGGGTCACTGTGGGGTTTCCGGGGAGGGCGGCTGGGGAGTCTCTGCGGGGAGGGGGGATCCTCTAGGCAGTCTCCTCCACCCTCTTCCCACTGTCCAGGTTACCCGCGAGAATAGAGAAGGGTAAGGCCAGCCACCCCAAAAAATAGGACCAGGAGAAGAAGACGTCGTTTTTCCACGCGTTCTTCACCGTGTAGCCTGTCAAGGCGATCAGCAGCAGCAGGCCTGGGCCGCCCCCACCCGCCGGGTGAGCTTGGCCGGGGGGCCGCAACCAGGCCCCACCCAGACCAAGCTCCCCGTCCCTGCTCCGCCGGGACACACCCCCTGCTTCCCCCATCCCTGCTCTACCACGCCACGCCGCCTGCTGCTCCCCCAACCTGCCCTACCAGGCCACGCCCCTTCTCCCCTCCCCATTCCTGCTCCAACAGGCCACGCCCACCGCCCCAGGTCACGCCCCCTTCTGGCCCTCCCCGTCCGTTCTCCACCAAGCCACTTCCCCTTCTTCCCCCACCCCTGCTCTACCACGCCACGCCGCCTGCTGCTCCCCCAACCTGCCCTACCAGGCCACGCCCCTTCTCCCCTCCCCGTCCCTGCTCCAACAGGCCACGCCCACCGCCCCAGCTCCGCCCCTCCTCTGGGTCTCCTGGGCCTCCAGCCGCGACCCCTGGGCCCCGGTCCCGCTCCAACCTCCAAGCCCGCCCTATGCCTGGGGGTCCGCTGCCGTCTCACCGCAGAGGAAGAAGATGGCGCTCGTGGTCCGGCCCCGCGAGTCGCCCTTCTGGCACAGAATCCGCAGCCCCATCACCAAACCCACGACGCCGGAGCCGGCCGCCAGCACCATGCACGCCGCGGTCACCGCCAGCATGGCTGGGGAGAGGGGCCTCGTCAGTCCCGCGCTGGCGCCGCCCCGGCCGCCCCTCCACACACCCACCGGTACGGGGCTGGGAGCAGAGTCAGGGGTTTGCCTGGGCACTTGAAAATTATGTCATGAGGGGCGGTTAATGTCGCGGCAGGGAAGCATGTCCCAAAGTGGAGGTTCGTGGTGGCCTCGGGCACGGAGGGGCAGGAGCATCTGAGACTGGAGTGGAACGGGTCAGAGTGGGGGTGGGGGCGCCGCAGAATGTGTCCAGCTGTTGGGCCAGGCGAGGGGCCCAGCTGTGGTCAGTGCTGGGGGCTGTCTGTCCAGCGTGGGTCTGACATCTGGGCGGGCCGGGCCTCACTCTGGCAGGGGCTGTTGGAGCAGATGCCGGCATTACACTCCTGCCACAGGCCGCTGTGGCCCGCAGGGTAGCGGATCCAGTAGTTGGTGGCGGTGGAGAGAATCGTGAGGACGTTGGCCGAAAAGCCCAGCAAGGTGCCCCCGCTTTGAAGGCTCCGCTTCACCCCCATCCCAGGGAGGCTGCTGCGGAGGGCCGTACACGCAGGATTGGCCAACACCCTCGCGACCCCGGGCCCCTCTCCCCATTCCTTTAAGTCCCTGAGACCCCCTCCCACATGTCCTTCCATCTCCCAGACTCCTACCCCACACCCTTGCCTGGGGCCCTACTTCTGGAGACCAGGAGACCCCCCTCCCTCAAATCCTCCCATGCTCTGGGCCCCTCCCCCAGCACCCGAACTTGGGGACCCCTCCCTTAGGTCCCTCCCAGACCCAAGACCTCCTTTCCCCATGCCCTTGTGTTCCTCCTGGGGACTTTGAGACCTTCTCCTTAGGAACCTCCCAGTCTTCCAGAGACTTCCATCCCCCAGTGGGATGTTCCTTTGGTCTGTCCAGTGCCCTCCCCCCACCCCCACACACACACCTACCGAAATGACTCACACCCAGCTCCCAGGGCCTCTTAGACACAGAGCGCAGAGAGGTGGGGGAAGGGAGACTGGGTCTCTGTGAGGCAGCAGGAGTTCCAGAACCCCCTCTTCGCAGCGGCTGTTTAAAGAGATAACCACCCACCCACCCATACACACATAGACACACACACACATACACACACACACAGAGGCAGCTCTCCTAGCAAAGTGACAGCTGAGAGTCAGATGGCAGCAGGTCTCTGGGAAGCCTGAGGGCCTTGACATGGTAAACCATGACCTTCTAGAAACTTCTCTTCCCTTGACCCCGTAAGCTCTCCTGGTCCCCAGCTCTCTGACTGTGCCCTCCCAGCTCCTGCTCCTCCTCCCTTTACTTCTCAATGCCGGTTTACCTTGAGGCTCCATCCTGTACCTTCTTACCAAGTAAGCCTCCTCACTCCCACAGCTCCAGGGAACCCTGATGCTCTGCTAGCATCCCAAACTCCCTCTCCAGCCCAGGTGTCTCTCTCCTTAGACTGGAGTCCTCATCTGCTCCCGAATGTCTCCCAGACTCCTGACACTGAACCACCTCCCAGCTGAGCTCACCATCTTCCACCAAACCAGGGATGACCCCACCGTCCCACCCAGTTGGTCGGGCCGGACCACTGGGGGCTATCCTTGCTCCCTTCCTTCCTGCTTCTCACCCTACAAAGCCCTTGGATCCCCAAGTCTTGTTCCTCCTGCCCCCCGAACCTTTCTGGCTCCTTCTCTCTTTTCCATCTCATGCCCTGGTCCCAGTCAGGCCTTGTCCTGTCTCACGTCCCACCTGTTGCATTGCCAAGCTCCTCTCTCCCTTCTGGCTTCCTGGCATGCCCCACAGGGGTCTTTCTGGCACCTGGAGCTGACGCTGACTCTCTCCTGCTCACCACCTTCTGCTAGCTCCTCATCACCCTTAGGAGAGAGTAAATTGTGGCGTTAGAGGCCCTGGCTCCCTCCTGCCTCTCTATTCTCATTTTCCTCCACCCCCACATTCTACATTCTGGCCACAAAGCACTGTTTTCCATCACCTAAAAACTTCCAGCCTTTCCACGCCTCCACCTTTGGGTCCCTCTGCCTGGATTACCTTTCCTTGGCCCTTGAGAAGTCCCTAAACAGCCTCTGCCCAGAAAGCTGACCTCCACCCTCTACAACCGGGTCAGTCTTTCTCCCCGCTGCCATCTGGCCTGAATTAACCACCTGCCCGCACCAGACTTGCAGCCCCTGGTGGGCAGGGCCCAGGTCTGATTCACGTCAGCATTCCAACGAGGCCCAGTGGAAAGGATGTGCTCAGGAAAAGCCAGCCACAGAAGTGAATGACTGAATGAAATGAGCAGGGCAGACTAGAGTGATGGCAAGGGTCACAAAATTAGAGAGGGAGCAAGAAGGGAAGAGAGCTAAAGCAAGAAAGACAGGGAAGAAAAGAGAAGGAAGGGCGAAGAAGAGAGATGGAGACAGGGAGAGGGACCCAGGGCAGTGCCTGAGTCCACACTGGTCCCCACAATGGTGGGAGCACCCTGAGGGCAGGCGGGTGGCTCTGACTCCTTCCTGGGTGCCCAGTGTCGACCACCATGGAGCTGGCGTGTGGTTAGCTTATGTCGCGACGGAATTAAGCTCGGAATAACCAGATCTCAGCCAATTTTTGTTCAATGGATGAAGGAACGAAGGGGGCTGGGGAAGGGCTGGGGGTGAGGGCTGGAGGGAGCGTCACGTAATCTGCCAGCTCCATCTTCAGAGAACGGTGCTCCAAACTCGTCCTGCTGTTCTCGCCCTCGGCTCACATGGCTTCATAGCTGGGCAGGGGGGCACGGCAGTGAGCACCCAGGCTCAGGCCAGCTGGGGTGGTAGAGAGAGGTTAGTGCCTGTCCCACCCTGCTCCCTCAGAGCCCCTAGCTGGCCCTCCCGAGCACCTCCCGAGCAGTCACCTGCGCAGAACCAGAGGAGAGCTGAAGCCCAGCCCAGGTAGAAGGACCAGGAGAAGAAGGTCTGGATCTGGGGATGTGGAGGCTGGCTCCACCGCTCGCTGGTGTAGACCACCAGGGCCACCGTTGCGAAGAGGCCTGAGGACAGAGACATGAGAGACTGCTCAGCTCCTCTGCAGGAACTCACCAGTCCCCAGTGCCCAAGGGCAGCCCGGAGCCCTTACCTGCAGCAAAGGCTGTGACAGAGGAGACAAGGGGCCCGCGGCCCGGGGCAGACAGTGAGGGGATGTAGGACAGGACCAGGAAGCTCACAGACACCAAGCCCCCCAGGGCAGCCAGAATGCTGAAGGCCTGCGTCACGTGGATGTAGCCTGCTCAAAGAAGAGACCTCTGAATGCCCGTCCCATCTGGTCATTCCCCCCACCCCGCCCCGCAAGAGCGATCTCTCCCTGTTACCTGCTACTGCGTCCTGATCCGCCTTTGGCCAGAGCCCCGAGTGAGCTGAAGCCTTGGGCCCCATGGCCACGAACCAGTAATCCGTGCTCAGAGCAACCAGGACAGATGTCAGGCCCAGGGAGCCAATGAGCAGGGCCAGGGACCGACAGGGTTCCATGGGGGCCAGCTCTGGGTTTCCAGGTCCTGGGCGATGAAGAGGCTAGTGAACCAGACTCCTGGATCTCTGAGAGAGGAGGAGGCTGTGTCCCGGGACTCCTGGATCTTCTGAGCTCAAGAAAGAGAAGCTGGCAAGCAGTGGGGACGTGTGCTCCTGAAGACTAGGCTGGTTTGGTTTCACCCAGTTCCTGGTAGCTGACGTGTCTCACCCTCCCTTCATGGGTTGCACTGACAACGTCCTTCCCTCCCCAAGGTCATTAGTGTGTAATGGGGAGCACTGAGGGTGTCACATCATCCGTGGTTTAGGTGGTGATTCAGAACTTGCCTCTCTGCCTCAGATTCTATGCGTCCCACCTTAGAGCCCTCAACACCAGAGGGGGCTTCCTGGGAGAGGTGAGAGAGAAGCTTGGGGGCACAGAGGTGGGAGGTGACGAATGAGACCAGAGTGTGAGTTAAATAGGAGGGGAGATGTGGCCAGAGGGGACAGTTGGGGGATGTGTCATACTTTCCTGTGGGTTTTGCTATCTTCCGTTCTAGGAGAGGGGGGGCCCCAACTCGAGGGTCTCCACAAAAAGAAGGGGGCTGGAGAAGGAAAGATCTGGAGGCCTGGGAGAAGAAGGGACAGGTGGATGGGGGGCTCATACTCCTGGATCCCTGCTTGGAGTTATGCCCAGGGCAGGCAAATGGTGGAGAATCACAATTCTAAGTTTGTGGCGAGGAAGACATGCCCACATCCTCATCTGATAAGTGAGTTCACAGACAGCTCTGCTTTGAGCAGGGCCTCCAGTGTGGTGGGCTTCATCATCAGGATCAGAGCCTGCGGGGCGGGTGACACAAGACTGTCAGTGCAGGACCCCCCAGCCCTCCAAGCACGAGCCGCCTCCCCCACCATCAGTTTCTGGGCAACGCACCACCTGTGAGCAGATACAAGGTGAAGGGGCCACAGCCCAGGAAAACTTAACCCCTGTGAAGTAGGGACTGGCCTGGAAGAGGACCTCTGTCGTGAAATCCAACTGAGTCGGCAGTCCCTGGACAGCTGGCGAAAGGGAAAACCAGAGTGACCAAGAGGCTGGGTCTTCTTCCTTTATTGCAGACTCCAATTTGCAGGCCCCCGTCTGTCACCCAGACCCTCACCAGTGGGGTAACTGGCCACGCTGAGAACATGCTCCTGAGGACAGGCTGCCAGAGGTGGATCCAGGTCATGAGCAGCGAGGAGCCAGCACAAAAATGGCTGTGGACATGGCTCCAGTGAGGAGCATCTGGACAGGCTTCAGGAAGTGTGGGTGATGGGGGTGTGGTAAGGGGACAGTCAGAGCACAGAGCCCATCTGTGATCTTGAACCCGTTCCAAACTCAACCCCACCCATAACCCCAGCTTCGATCCCATCCTTAACCCCATCCCTATTCTCCAACCTAACCCCATTCTCATGCCCAAACCAAACGCCATCCTTAACCCCAGCTGCAACCCCAAACTCAACCCTATCCATAAGTCCAGCTCCAACCCCAAAATCAACCCATCCCAATTCCCAAACCTAACCCTATTCTCATTCCCCAACCCAACTTTAAACTCAATCCCATCCCCAACCCCAAACACAACCCATTCCTTAACCCCAGCTCCAACCTCTAATTTAACCCTATCTGCATCCTGCAACCTAACCCCATTCTTATTCACAAACTCAACCCCAAACCCAAACCCATCCTCATCCCTAGACTTAACCCTATCTTCATTCCCATCCCCACACCAGATCACATTTCCCGTCCCAATTCCAACCCTAGTCCCACCTCACTTCCTTCTTCATACTTCTCCCCAACCCCTGTAATTCCTACCTCACCCCCCCATTTTCATCTTCATCCCACCTCCAGGTCCAAGGCTATATCCCTCTTTCTCGTCTCCCCAAGTCCCACTACCACCACCATCACGCACACACATGCATGCACATACATGACCTGTACCAGGCTCCCGCAGACTTCTGCACACATAGGCATCACAGGCTGACCGTAAACCCAGGTCCTTGGTGGCCCCTGGTGCACACACCTCAAGTCAGTAGGGGCAGACAAAGGCCGCCAGGAAGAACCCCAAGGAGAAGCAGCTGAACACGACATTGAAGAGGGAGTTGTCTCGCAGAACCTCCATCTCTTTCCTTGACAAGATGTGAAGCTCTCCAGAGCCCTCATGTCCCCAGCTCCACCATGCTGTCCCAGTTGTTGGTTCCTTTCAGTCTCTACCAGTCTTGTCCAAGCACTGCAAGTTTTTCCAAATCACCGGGGTCTCCTCCAACGTTCTCCAATTCCTACCAACTTCTGCCAGGCTGAGGGGTTCCTCAGCAACCCCCAACTGCCACAGAACACCTCCAACATCATCACCCCAGGGAAGTTCTGTGGCTCTGCCCAGCCCTGAGGCCTGCCTTGACCACCTGGGGACCTGGTCTCTATTCTATTGTTTTTGTCTTCAGAGCTGAGGTCCCCCCAGTCCCAAGGCCCCACCCTCAGTCTAGAGCACTGTACCCATACCCCCAACCCAATTATCTCCCAGGCCTTCCTGTACTTGGCTTGATCCCAAATGTCTCTCCTTCTGCCACTTCCCATACATTCTCAGACCTCAGGAACTTGAAGGCAGGAACAAGGTTGGATTAATTTGGGGGCCCCCAGCACCCAGCATAGAATCTGGCAAATAGGAGGCCTCTGGAGATATTCAATTCAACCAGCCCCTCTTGTAGTTCAGGCACTAGGTTAGGCCCTGGGGGCACAGTGATGGACAACATACTCGGGACCCTTGCCCTCATTGAGCCTACATTCTATTATAGCAAAGAAATAATGGCTGTTTATTTATTTTTTTTATTTTTTTGAGGAAGATCAGCCCTAAGCTAACATCCGATGCCAATCCTCCTCTTTTTGCTGAGGAAGATTGGCCCTGGGCTAACATCCGTGCCCATCTTTCTCTACTTTATATGGGATGCGGTCACAGCATGTCTTGACAAGCGGTGCGTTGGTGTGCGCCCGGGATCCGAACCCGCAAACCCTGGGCCACCGAAGCAGAACGCCCACGCTTAACTGTTATGCCACCGGGCTGGCCCTTGATGGCTGTTTATTAACAGTTATGATGGAAAGTGCCATAATTTCCATTGAGGCTCACTCTTACCAATATTTAATGTGGTCTATTTTGATGATAAAAATATATTAAATCTCAATAAATATCAGAGTAGGCCCCAATAAATAATCTAAGTTGATAAATATCATTATCAATTGACCTGAATAAATATTTAGTTTTCAACAGATATTATTTTGAGCGATTACCATGTGCTGGGTGCCACCTTATAAGCACTGAGGATGTAGAGATGACCAAAAGCAGACACAAATTTCTCCCTCAGGGGCACCACCATTCCAGTTGGGGATACAGATAATAAGATAGATGTAAGAAAAATATATAATATGTTTGTGAAAAGTGCTGTGGGGAGGCAAAAGCAGAGAAGAGGGGGAGGGTTGTGATTTTAGATGGGGTCGCCAGAGACACCTCACTGAAAAGGTACCTTTGAAGCAAAGAACTGAAAGACATTTGCGAAGAGTGGTGTAGGCAGAGGTGGGCTCATGCCTGGACAAGCACGGAGGCCAACAAGGCTGGAGCAGAGTGACTGAGGAGCAGAGCAGTAACGTTGACCAAAGAAAGGGTTGGCCTAGCCCAGCTTTTGGGAAGGAACCTCTAAGTCCTTGGAATGCCTGCCTGTTAAGAGTGTCTGTTTACCTGGGGTCCTTGGGCCGCGCCAGATAGTCTATCATGTCAACGTGGTTTATGGTGGGGGCTTTGAAACACACGGTATCAATATGACCCCTGGAGAGGCTGGAGACCAGCCATATGATTTCCCCATGCCTGCAACCCTGACCTGGACACTGGACAATAAGACTGGACACCAAGGCTCAGGTGAGCTTCCCTGGTGGGCAATGTCCTGTGCATATTGTCACACGTTGTCGCTGAGAGAAGTAAGTGCTGTCTGGACACTCCACTGGGAGAGACAACTGGAAACTCATTTCTGATCTCTCCTGGACGCTGCCCTGTGAACCCCATCCTTTTGCTGATTTTAATCTGTACCCTTTTGCTGTAATAAACTGTACCATGAGTGTAATAGCTTTCTTGAGCTCTGAGTCCTTCTAGCAAATCATTGAACCTGAAGCAGGTGTTGAGGAGCCCTGAATTGCAGTGAGTGAGGGAAGATGAGGTCAGAGAGTTAACAGAGTCCAGAACACATGACGCTTCATATGACCTTGATAGACTTCAACTTTTCATCTGAGATGGGAGCCACTGGAGGGCTTAGAGCAGAGGAGTGACTTGATTTGAGTCATGTTTTAACAAAACTCCCTCTCGACGCTGTGTAGAGAATGGACTGCACGGGGCAGGGGGTAGGGAAGGACAGAGGCAGAGCTGGTTAGGAGGCTGTGGCAATAAGCCAGGTGAGAGATGATGGTGGTTTGGACCAGGGTGGTAACTGGATGAGCAAGGCATCAAATTCCAGACACAATTTAAAAGAAGAGCCAACACTATTTGCTGATGAATCAGATGTAGGATGTAAGAGAAGGAAGGCAGCTGAGGATGCTCCCAATGTTTTTGGCTTGAGCAGTTGGAAAAAATGGAGTTGTCATTTACCAAGATGGAGCACACCGTGGGAGGAGCAGATGTGGAGTGTGAGAGATCAGGAATTCAGTGTTAGACACATGAGATGTGAGATGCCTCTTCTTTTCAAGTGGAAATGTGGAGTAAGGAGTTGGAGATATGAGTCTGGAGTTATAAGTATGACATCACTATTATTGCTCGAGGAAGCCCCTATAAATATGATTACTGGAAGAAGCCTCAGTAAATATTTTTACTTAAATAGACCTCAATAAATTATTATTAGAGAAGGCCTCAATTGCCATTATCATTAGAGGAAACTTTATTAATATGGTATTATTTGAGGAGGCCCCAATAAATATTATATCTGGGGAATAAGTCTCTATTAATATAAGTTATTAGTGTTGGGGGAAGAGGGAGAATCTCCCTCTGCCCTTTCCCTTAAGGTTCTTCTGGCTGGCCAAATAATCAACAAGACAGGTTAGCAGGAGAAAATAATACCAAGTTTAATAACATGTATACATGGGAGAAAGCAGGGACACTGCGTTTCTCAACACAATAGCAG